GGGGGGGGGGGGGGGGGGGGGGGGGGGGGGGGGGGGGGGGGGGCAGGGTTGTTCGTTTTTTCGTCGTAGTGGTGGCTCTGGGTATAGGTGCTGTGGATATTGTCACGGTGCCCCCCCTATGAGTACAGAGGTGAATGTTGCTGCTGCTGCTGTTCTCGTTGTCCCGCAAGGCTTGTCTTTCTGACGTTTAGGAACTAAGGTTTGCTTGCTTGCTTGCTTGCTTGCTTGCTTGCTTGCTTGCTTGCTTGCTTGCTTGCTTGCTTGCTTGTCTGCTTGCTTGTTGCCGACTGTGTGGGGGGGCGGCGGGGAGCACCTTGTGGGATAGACAGTACCACGGCGCCGGAGAACGTTTGTGTCATGGGGGGCTGTGAATGATAAATAGATAAAGAGATAGGATTTGCGCAGTGCAGAGTACCATATCACCCTGTGACTGTCCACTCCTCCTACAGCTACAGTGCTGTAGATGGTCGTCGTGCATATCACCGACGATGCCAGTTAGAATAGCATTGTGCACGGATACTGTATTGCCCTTCCCTATAGCTGCTACTACTCGGATCGTAGCAGACGCTGTGCCGCAGTCTTTTCGTTGTCGTCCGCATTGCATCGTATCTGGTACTGTCTAGTATTCAACGCACAAGAGAATGACAGACAGTAGATACGTTCCAACGAACGTGAATCATGACAGCAGTACCCCTGCTCCTCATTTGTGCGTACCTGCGGTGCCCCCTCCCCCACCCGTTTGTGTTAATTCTATTCACCTTCACCTTTAGTCTGTCTTGGACGGGTCGAGCGAGGCGGTGTCGGAGTTCCTCTCACGCCTTCCGGAGGAGACCGAGGGTGCTGTTACCAACACGGCTCCTCTGGCGGAGCAAGTGAAGCTGCTGGAGGAGAAGGACGAGGGCTTCGTCGTACCGACTCAGGTAATTCCCCGTGAGGCTGTGAAGGCGCCAAGAGGAAGCTATCTTCGGATATGGTAGCGATTAGATCAAATGCGACATTTTATTTGTTCGGAATGATGCATATGTACACTCTAGAAGTGAGCTGCTCTTGTGTGTACGTGTTTCAGCAAATGGCGTCGACCGCGCCACACGGGCTGGCTATTGAGAATGCTTCCTTCTCGACGGAGAGAGTTAAGACGATGCGTGCGGTCCAATGGTCAAAACGACCTGCGGTAGGCAGCCAAGCGATTATCAACGACGCCTCGCCCAACCGAGTATTGTACCTGCTCGTTTTTCGTGACAATATTGACGACGACAAAGGTGAACTACGTGGTCAAGGGCGGACCGCTCTACAAGCCGGGGGAAGTCGTGCCTGGCCAGGCGTCGGTCGTGTCGAGGTTCCTCCGCACTGGCTACCTGTGGGACACCGTGAGAGTCATGGGCGGGGCGTACGGCGGGTTCACCAAGTTCAGCCCCGTGTCCGGCCTGTTCAGCTGCCTGTCGTACCGCGACCCTAACCTGGGAAAGACGCTCGACAACTACGACGGCTGCGCAGGTGTGTTCTTGCTGCATTCCTTTTGGTTAGGATTAGGTAACCGACTGAGCGATGTGGAAGACGTTAATGCTACGGTGCAGGGCAGAAGCAACGACAAAACCCCACAACAATGTGTGTGTTCTTTACCTAGTACAGTACAGCGTCGACCGCGCTAGCCGCTTGTGGCCAATGAAAAGGCGTGAGTCTTGCTCGAGGCAGAAAAACTGCAAGACGCTCTCTGGTCAGAGGTCTTCGTGTTTTTATTTTTTTTTTCTCCCATCATTGGATTCTGTCGTCTGCCCCTTTGGCCCCTATCCTCCACTTCTACCAGCTAGACGACCCAACCGGGGTCACATAGGACCTCGTGTGTGTGTTGGTGTCTGTTTGTAGCTCGAAAAATCACAATCACAACAGGCTTTGCGCAACATGTCGGTGGTTTTGGGGAGTCGCAACCGCTACAAACGTGTGCGGATGTGTTTGTGTTTCGGGTCTCGAGGAGAGCTAACTGCTAGTTACCATGCATGTGCTAGGCTTGTCCCCGTTCTGCTGGCATACCGCACGTTGCAAGCGCAATATACCACGAAGCTCGATAGCTCTGCAGCAAGAGCAGCGATGGTGCCGAGAATGATCGTGTTTGAGCCTTAACCTTCTCGTCGATAGTAGTACGAACGCGCATCATCGACGCTGGCACGCTTTTATTTGATGGAGAGTAGTGGAGCTTTGAAGATGAGTCCACGGGGAACAATATCGTGCGCAACCTGTAATACTGTTGGGTTTCATCACAATCGGGCCACAGGTGCACCCACCCACAAGCACATTGATTTTGTGAGGAGGAATGCTGGAGCACACTTTGGTAGCGAGAGGGAGCACATTTGTTTATGCTACAGTACGACTGTATAAACGCTGCTCCCATTGGCACAGGGGTGCACTATTATCGATGTAGGGCCAACGAGACAGTACTTGGCTCCCAGCAGAGCGATGTTTTCATTATTAACGACAAGTTTGAGTGACCCGTGGGTGAGGACACGCACATGTGCACACCCACATTGCAAAGCTGCGACAACTTCTCTACCATAGGCACGCCGACACCTGCTCCACCAATCAGCTCGTGTTAAGAGAAAATGATCAGTGCTGTACAGTACAACATCACGGCGTGTTTGTACCGCGGAGGTTGGATATGATTAGTGGGCGCTCTGGGGTGGCAAGAGGCTTGAACCTGCTGCTTGGTTCTACATTCTGCGAACTACACTGAAGCAGATAACACAGGTTGCCTTGATGTTCTGGTGTACTGGAGAAGGGGATGCGCGGTCCACTGCTGTTTTAACATGTAACAGTCTTTGCCGCTCGCCCACGCAAGCACGGGGAATGACTGAGAATATCTACCCACTCCATCAAGCAACCGGAAGACGGTTATTCCCGCGAGTGTCTGCTCGACGCATGCAGCTGCGGGTGTGTTGCGCACTTGAGGAGCGCCGACGCCGCAATGCAGTCCACGGCTGTATCAGTGTTGCTGTTCGCCATTCCTCCATGCAAGCACGAAGGGTGGAGAACACCCGTTTCGCGAAGATTGTAGCACAGGACGACTAACCTTGTAAGACCGTCGTGACGGTGTCGACAGCTGCATGCTGTACGATGGGGATATTGTCTACAGCTGCATGCGTCGACACCGCCATCACGTTTCTGCCAGTTTAGTCGTCTTCCACGGCGTTCACGAAACCGGTGCTCTCAATCCTCCATGCTTGCATGCAGGAATGACAGACTTGCTTTTTGCCAAAGAAGTGGACTGCTTTGCGGCGTCGACCCTTGTGCAGTGACCGTCGAAATACTCTAGACGATACCACCGTTTTCTCAGCACTATATTTAGTGTGTCGTTTTTTAGCTTTTTCTGCTCCGGTACTGCTTCTGTGTTTTGAGTGTTCACGTGTGCTTGGCCTCCGCCTAAATCGCGACTGCGTGGAAGTCATTTTGGCAGCGCATGTGTACTCACATGATGGGACAGGTTTTCGGGAAAGGGCAACACGCTTATCATGCGACGAATGTTGAATCACGTTGATCAGGGTAGGGTTCAACAATTTGAGAGGGCTGAGTTGGTGTTTGCCCTGGATGCCCAGTACGGTCTCGTCGGTCACATATCGTAAATGTTCACGATATGGTATTCAGAAAGGATGCCCATGTACCAGCACAAGTACGTAATTGAACCGCACCCGAACAAAGAACATTCTCGGCAGGTACAGTATGCATCAGAAGCAGATTAAAAGCAAGAAAAGCACGCTGGTGAAAAGCGGGGGTAGAGCCACACCCATACAAACCAATAATACCAGGAACACATGTGTTGCGTGCCATTTCGCCGGTTTTCGTGCTTCGGGACATGTTTCGCTGGCGGAAGCGAGTCTTGTCTCTCACGCTACCTTCTCAGGGGCACACAGGGGGGTGGTCGGTACATTAGTGCAGTACACGCCCATGGACGGCCCGTCACCTGTGGCGATTGTGCTTGACGCTCAAAGTTGAGAAAACTGGCTCTATTCCCCGGGGACGTGTCCCGTGCGAAGAAGCCTTGGCAAGAAATACCAAAAAAACGCTTTGCACTCTACAGGAAAGCCTGCGCAACGCACACAAGCCCCGCAGACCTTGGGCAACACCAATACATGAGAGCGGCTGATGGATCAACGCACCGGATCATGGTAATAGGACCTGGAAGAAAAGACGCTGCTAGCTCATTAGCACACACTCGCGCACACGCGAAAAGTCACGGCCAGAAAAAATACACAACCCGCACACACTTGCCGCACAAAGTGCAAATTCCAGGCACGTTCTGCAGGTTGTACGCAAAACCGGCACTCACTACGAGTACCGAACGTCATGACGTAGAGATACAACGATGCGACCACGATGACGTAGGCCATGCCCTCTTGCGTCGACCCCGGGAGGCAAGCCACCTATCCCCCGAAGGGTAGCCTTGTAACGTATACATAATGGCGCAACTCTCCCCTCCCTGATAACGGGACAGAGTGTGAGTTGGGGCATACCGTATCCACCGCAAGAAAGCACAACCGGAAAGTTACTTCTGGAAACAACAAGCAGAACTTGCAGGAGAACCTAACGTCCCCCCCCCCCCCCCCCCCCCCCCCCCCCCCCCCCCCCCCCCCCCCCCCCCCCCCCCCCCCCCCCCCCCCCCCCCCCCCCCCCCCCCCCCCC